ATTTGAGAGTCACCAGCAAAAAATTGAATACTACAATGTTTGACAAATGTGTGCAAGTCGGCGATATATAAATTAAATAATAGTGGTCCGAGTACAGAACCTTGGGGTACTCCAGATGAAATGGCACATTTAGGCGACACATTAATATCGATAGTAACTCTTTGGAAGCGATTAGCTAAAAAGCTACCCATCATATTTATAGAGGAATCCGAAAAACAGTAAAATTCACATTTAGCAAGTAGCACACGATAATTTAGACTATCGAATGCCTTACTAAAATCAAGAAGTACTAGTGTTGTTGTCATATGGTGATCCCACGTTCTAACAATGTGGTCTGTCAGCTCTTGCAGTATTGTAGCCCTTTCGAAAACCACATTATATCGATGGTAATATTTGAGTTTCCGATAGATATTCATTTATTTGAGCGTACATTCCCTTCTCCAATAATTTAGATAGCACAGGTAGGATACTAATACACAGATCAGCATAAATATGATGTGTGATTACTGTTTTTGCAAGAGGCAATATTAGTGATTCTTTCCACGGTTCATGAAATAATCCGTTCATTAGACAATTCTTCGTCACTTAATAAGGCATTCGATTTTATGGATCGAAAGTATGAACCTAGCTCAGTTATATTAATTGGTCTAAAGTTGAAACTGTTATTAGAATAATGATTTTTTTCATAATGTCAATCGTGTCTGTACATGAACAATTAACTTTGTTGAAAATAAATTTTATCCCATCAATTGTCATCAATATCATTGAAAGAATATATGGTATCTCAAGGATAGTTGAGGATATCATTTTGAAAGTTAGTAATTTCAAAGTGTTTAAAATCTCTGAATTTCACAAATTTTTTGTTTGGGCTTTTTGAACTCTAGAGTTGTCTCACAAAAAATTAAATGATGATCAATGAATGGGTCTATGTTTAAAACACCAGAATTTGAGTATATTTATTATTCTAGAAGGTTGATCAATCACCTATTGGAAGCCCTAGATAGATAGATAGATAGATAGTCTTCATTTTCATAAATAGCTATGACATAAGACTTGTCAACATTACATATACAATACATAAGTATGCGATATGCAAAAAAGAACAGGTAGTTAATTAAAACAGTAATTGAGATAATAAATAATAAACAAATAAATAAATAAAATAGGGGTCATTACAAACACAAACAAATTCTTAATGACATCTAACGAACATAAAAAAAAATCAATTTTAAATAAATAAAAACAATTGAGCACTTAAAATGTCTAGAAGAGGAGCAATAGACTGTTTCTTTTCCGTTAAGCTTAATAAATAAATAAAATTAAGCAGCTAGGTATTCGTCCACGGTGTAGTAACACGTTTCTGATAGATATCTTCTCAGACGTTTCTTTAATGTCAACATATTAGTGCTTCTGCGGAACTCAATTGGTAGTTTATTGTAAATTTTTGTACAGGCATAGAGTGGTGATTTCTGAAACTGGGCTGTTGCGTGGACTGGTATACTTAAGTCAAAACCTATTCTGGTGTTGTAGTGCCTGTTAACTGTGTTGTTTTGAATAAAACTGGTCCTATGTTTAAATGCGAAGAGAGCGCATTTATATGTATATATAGATGGATATTACATACACATTAAAACAGTTTCATATTATTTAAAAATAGGAATACCATGTGAAACAAAATTCCCTTGGTTTTTACTTTTTTACTGTATCGAATTTTTTCTCCAGCCTATACGGAATTTACTTAAGCATTCAAAAAACCGTTCAAGACTGAACTGTTCGAATTATATTCTAATTTTTTGAGTCTTTTACAGATACTTGTTTAATGAATGTTAAATGTCTAGTTTTTACGTCAAAAGTATGTATATATTTTAAATTTCAAAGTTGATATGAAAATCTTTTTTATTACATTAGACGTAAAGATGCATCCAGTTTGGCAGAGAGCCAGTGGGCCACTTTTAACGGTATCAACTGACCAAAACAGTAAATAAAAGTGCCAGATACAGTGCTATAAAATAGAAGATGACAGATAGCTATTGCGCAAATTTATTCTAAGAGGAGCAAAGAGATCAACCGTAGCTAAATCATGTAGGTACAAGAATTGTTTTAGAGTTTCTGCTGCAAAACCTTATAATATCTAAAATTGCCGAGAACAGGTAAATTTTTCCTTACCTTCGACTTCCTGACATGAAGCAAAAAATAATACATAAGCAGATATAGCAAAAATCAACTTCATCCTTTGAAATCTTTTCATATATTTTGCCGAACAATTCACTAATCACTAAATGATTAGTTTATTTATTTCTACTATTTATAGTACAGATAAATTCACAGTCAATGACACTTTAACATATTTTTGATTCCATAATCCATATATTTAGCGTAAATACATAGATGATGGAACTCTTCATTTTTTCTGAAAACTTTCAAATATAGTACTATCAGATTAGTGGTGTGCATCATACATTTTCATTGAAATATTGATAAGTACTCAATCAAGATGTTATCTTTTCTCCGTGTTTCTGGTATTAACGCGTACGTGTATTTTATAGATGATGAATCATATCCAATAGTTGACATAAGATTATCATCATTGTGATAAATTTTTTTGACGCACGTTTCAAGTAATATACAGATTTATAAGGAAAACCAATGTGAGTAGTTGATTTAAAAAATTTCTAACAAAGTTTTAAAAAATGCCTATGCGATAAAGTTTCAGCAAAATTTGCTCGCCCATGTTATGTATGAGGTTTCTAACATATTCTTATTCCCAACTACGAGTAAATGCATAACTATAATTGATATTTCGAGAGCATAATGAAAATATTAATATAATAGGAGTTATAACGAGAACTTTTGAGATATTCAGTTTGCGCCATCATATGGAAATTTAGAATCAGTGTTCCTCCAAAACTTTTGAGATATTCAGTTTGCGCCATCATATCAAAATTTAGAATCAGTGTTCCTCCAAAGTGGGCGATAACGCCCCCTTGTGGGCGCTGGACACCTATTAGAAGCACTGACTCAGACGAGCCCCGCTCTTCAATATTCGATACCATCTCAATTATCATTCTTTACCAGTAGCACTGATGCAGCAGATGGCAACACCCCTCCCCACACAACAATTTCGGGGGTCGCTAAAAAATAATTGATTTTCTCTCTGGTTTAGATGAATAAGGTCAACTAGATTTCATTAGAATTAGCACTGTTTGTTTACGAGATCAGATGTCGGAGTGTGACTTAAAATCAGAAGAAAAAATACGATTCCGATTCAAGTGTTTAGTAGATTTTTTAGGGTGCAAAAATGCATAATATACATATATCTATACAAAAAAATAAAAAAATACTAAATTTTCCTGTTACAAATCATTTCATACAGGGTGTTTCAAATTCGACCATCACCAGTGGCGTACTCGGAAATTGTAACAGATACGAAGTCACTTAAATGGGAGCCAAAGTTGCGTATTTAGGTAACCAACAAAATTCCATTTAGAAAGTTTCGAAATTCAAAGTACTTCCGGAGAGAGGCGGAAAAAGCCGAATTTCCCCAAAATAGTTTCAATTTTTCCTGACTTTGTAATGGGATTTCGAAATAAATTGCACATTAACAATTGTCACTTTTTCTCCTTTACAAGAATGCATAATTAGAGTTTCAATATGACGCTTCGTCTCTTGTCTTCTAGCATCATTAGTATTGATTTTTGCACAGATAAATAGCTTTTAATTCTGGTTCCAAAAATATATAATTCTTCATACATTGACATTGTCAAGCCTTATTTCAAAAAAGCAGAATTTCCTTGGTAGGCCTTGAAATTATCAGATAATTTGTTTGGGATCCCAGATTTATTCCAAAATCAATTTTATTTTTTCCTGTTTCTATGCGAGATGGGATTTCAAAATAATTGCATGTTGTCATCGTTATTTATTCTCCTATATAATATGGTGTAGTCAAATTTTCAATTCCACTTTTCTTCTTTCGACTTCCGACACCCACTCTGTTTTTTCATTCTAAATTCAGTGATGTATTTGTTTACTACCCGATTTATTTCTCTTCTACTCAGTCTTTCAAACTCTGTTAGTATGTTAAATTTGAGGTCTGTTCTGGTACACAAAACAAATGAAATCTGATTATTCCAAGGCTTACCTAGGATATTCCACTTTTTTGAAATAACTAAGGTTTGGCAATGTCAATGAACATATACATTTTTGTAATCAAACTAAAGAACCTATTCATATGTGAAAAAATGCAATATGGCGTCTATAAAAAAAGTAAAATTGATGCTGAAAGACAAGAGACGAAACTTCATATTGAAATTCTAATTATGCCATCTTCTAGAGGAGAAAAACTGGCAGTGTTAATGTCTAATTTATTTTGAAATCCCACTACAAATAAAGTCAGTGCAAATGTATTTTCCCCTGTTCCGGAAGTACATTGAATTTCGAAACTTGCTAAGCGGTATTTTATTAATTATCTAAATACGCAACTTTGCCCCCATTTAAGCGATCCCAATGGCGAGGGTCGAATTTGAAAGATCCGGTACAAAATCTCTTTTGGCATGGGTTCATCGATTATTTTGTCCACTTACGATTGCCCCCCAAATATCACTTATACATTCCGCTAAATTGGCTAGATAGTTGGATAACTATAAGAATACGAAATCAAAAAAAAAATCAAGCGCGGTTGAGGGGTGTTCTATTCGTGGAAGGTTAATGTCATGTTTATTAATATGCAACTTCTTATAAAAGAAAGTGGTTATCTTTCTATTACTACTGAGGGAATCATTGCTATCCTACTTTGCATCAAGGGTGTGACGATCGAATTTGAAAGTGAACACACAAATTCTTTGAGAATACAGTAATCATCGGTATACGGTCATTCCTCGCACAGCGATAAATTGTGTTTTTCTTATGAGGGTTCTTATAAATATAATCATCTTCTATGAAAAGTTTCATAGTGTCTATTGCTAAAAAGCGAAATACAAACAGGAAGATAATGAGAGAAAAAATGTAATCTATAGGATGAAATATTTATTTCTGTGGAAACAGTTACACACAAAATACACAAACTGCTCAGCTTTACCTGTATTACTATTCATTATTACCTGTTAAATAATCCTGAAACATTATAAATAAATATAAACAAATACATGCAATAATTGTAATAATTTAGTACAAGGACAGGTTCTAAAAACATTGTAACTCTTTTAACACTTTAACCTAGGTAGTTAACACAACAGTGTTAGCTGTATATAAACAAGGAATAATATTCAAGTTTTTATTGGCTATTGGTTGTTGCTTAATTTAATAAACCCTAACAAAATTTCTAAGCATAAAACTGGTAATATTTTTTTTCGAATTAGACAGGGTGAGGCGGAGGAACCAAGTGTTTTTAGATTGGATAGTACGCGGCCATCGGAAAAGGGAGGAACGGGTTGTACACCGAACTTGTCTATAAACTATATAGACAAGTTTGGTGTATAACCAATCATTCAGAAGGAAATTAAAGGAAGTAAAATTGGCTAATTGGTGGCACCAGTGGCTCAATCGGTGAATTGAAGAATACGCCTAAATGTTCGAGAACGACTTCAGCAATGCGTCAATGAAAACGATCATCACGTGCCAGATGTCATTTTCCATTCATGAGTACCTTAAAATGCTTTGTTCTTATCTATATTGTGCTACCAACAAAATTGTTTAAAGTAAAAACTTACAATATTATTATTTTAAGAACATTTGGTTCCTATGCCCCACCTTGTATCTGATTTGGTTTCGCCTACTAAGTAAAAACAACAGAATTGTTTTCATTTTATGACAATCTAAAAGGTTCACCAGTATTCGTGGAATTATGTAATTTTTATATGTAATTTTTTTACAATGTGACCAATCAACAAAATCAAAAAATCCTTAAAGATGTTTTCTAAATTTCTACACTATCATCATCTCCCGTTCACAAGATCAATTCTACCAAAAATTGAGCAACAACCTACACCACATACATGAAACACCTGTGCAGAAAAAGTCAAAAAACCAATATATATCTATATATAGTCAAGTGGAACCGACTAGGTTTCTATATACATGAAGATCTAAATTTAAAGGACATCAGAAACTGTGGGACATGTTAACTCGTTATATGGGGCAATGTTGCGTATTGTGTTTTAACAAAACCTGAAGCGAGAAGAATATAAAACGACTTTATGTATCTTTTTTCTCCATCTGTGGAATTTGTTGATATCCCAAGTTTTATTTTAACCTCATTCCATTCGAATATGTTAAAACAATACCGTGTGGTGATCTATGCATTAGAACACCCGTATCACTAATAAATTTTTGTCTCCATCTTTTCATAAACTTTATCTACGTTTTAACTGCATTCTAATAAAATATTTTAAGTTATGATAGGTTTCTACGGGCATATCTCAACCAAATCACGAGAAATTAAATTCCCATCTAGAAGCCAGTTAAAATCTCGACCAGCACCGGCCCGCTGCCGGTTGCAATCTCCAGGCATGTATCAAGTCAGACTGATTTATTCCTTCAATATCTTTAAAATGAAATCCCAATGTTTTATCTTAATCTGCGTTCGAAAGTTTAAAGTTATGTAATCGTATGTTCTGATTTACTGCCGAGCATAAGAGCATAATACCGCGATTAAAATTGCATGGCGCGAACTACCAAAACCGACAGACACGATATCGCTTGCAAGCCACGTGCCACGTGGTAGCGAACTACCAAAACCGACAGACACGATATCGCTTGCAAGCCACGTGCCACGTGGTAATCATACGGTGATATACGATTTTAAACTTTAACGGCTAGCGCATTTTACGTACATTGAAATACTAGCGCCGTGATTGTGTGATACTGTTCGCCGTTGGCGTGAAATGCCTAGTTCCCGAAGTCGCACTTACGTCCCGGTATTTGGTAATAGTTATCTTTTAGTAATGTTCGCGAAATATCTACCACCACTAGTAATCAGACTTTTCAAAAACGCTGCAAGCAACTCTCTTATTGCCGCTGGCGAGCTTTACCGCGTAATAATGTAAATCCTAAAGGCCCCTAAAACTCGTCAACTTGACTGTTAGAAATGTGCTTTCACGTGACTAGACAAACGGTGAATGCTTTGCGAAGATTGTTTTCAGGGCGCTTGATTTCCTCGCAGACGATGTCAATTGCCCCCCAAGATCATAATATTTAACGCTGCCAGACGTCTTCTGGATATTTGTAAAAATAAGGTTAATTCAACTAAAGAGCATCTGAGGAGCAATATTCGGGGAGCTATTTAAAATATTCCACGCTAAACCTGCCAAGAGAATATATCCAAGAAGCCCCAAATTTGTACGGATTTCAGAAGGGTGCATTTATGTGATATCATTTTTCATTAATAGCCCCCCAACATCCACTAAAAGGTTGAGTTATTGGATATATTTTATTTTACTTTTAAGATATGGGAGAAACAAATCGGATAGTTATACACAATATTGTTTTTACTGTTCTACATATGATAGTACCACAAAGACGGAGATAGAGATAGGAGATTAAGTTGCGAAGGCATACACGTATTCATATGAAGCCAACCTTGTCGCCAAGGATGGTGTAGCTCTCGGAAATCTAGTGAGTGTAGAACATGGCCTAGAGCGCCGCAATCTTTATGTGCTTTTTCACTCACGTTTCGCTATGCATTATTGCTTCGTAGGTAATTAATATTAGCCAATTTTTCTGCTTACAGCTCGTCCGAAATGTTCAAATTAAGTCACAATCATGATGATAGCAACAGAGACAGATGCCACATGTGCAGAAACTGAAATTAATTTACTGCGCATCGACATTTTTGACTTCACCTCCATTCTATGAGTTTAACCTCCTATCTATAGTCTTTGTGGCCAGAAACAACTTGAATTCAAAACTTTGCATGATTCAGTCCACTGGGTATGTCTTACGATTTCCGAACTGTCCATGCTAAGAGCTTTTCCGAAATGTCCATGCTTATTACCTAGTTGTTTTTGGTAAATATAATCATTTATTTGCTTCGCCTCAACTTTTTTTTGAGATTGCTCTCGCAGAGCGGTCTGTTGGGCTTGGCGGCGCGCGTCGGTCTAGGGCTGTTCTTGTTGACTTCGATCAATCGCTGAAGAGGGATCAACCTCTTCACTTTCTTCATTGCTGGAGATGATGACTGTTTCGGCTCTTCTATTTCGACCGTAGGAGTTTCTGCTGTGAAAAATATTCTTTTTAATCTACCGTACTTCAGGCTAAATACAGACACGTAGATTTAATCCAAAGCGTTCAAAACATCATCGGTTTCCATGCCGATATACCATCATATACAGGTATATCGTTGATACTTCTCATAAGGACAAAATGGCGTCAAGTGGGTTGACTCTGCGCGTCCTACGCAACGTCGTCATCAATTCATAAAGGACTAAATTCAGCTTAATTTAAAGCGTCTGAGATAAAAGTCAGTGTTGGACGTGTATAACAGAGAAGTTGAACGCACTAAGTCAGTCAAACACGCTCATACAATTAGGCCATAGACATGCCTTCCCTGCCCTACTGGTAGCTGCCATTCATGTGGCAACGTTGCCCCTTCCACATCTGCGCGGAGGCGCTGCCGCTAGTTATCTTTCGTTTCGTGCAAGGTGCATGTATGTTTTTTGCGCTATGGACAGATATATAAGCCGGACCAGTTCGTCAGGCGGTGAGCTTAGATAGGAGTACTCAGATAAAAAATATTTCTCTATAAATAAGTTTTAAAGGGAAATGTACGGGTAAATCTATAATGTGTAAAATATGGCTGATAGGTGTATATAACAGCTAGGGTTGGGAGAATATAGATATACTAAGATAAAAAAGAAACATACACTCCCTCACCCTTTACAACCCCCAACCCTCAAATTAACACTCCTACAAAAAAAATTGAAAATGATCAGGACCCTATAAGACGTCAAAAAAGGAAGTTTGAGCGATTTTTATCCCTTTCGTTTTTGGCCTCTTTCTCCGCCATCACTGGACCGATTTTCAAACACTACAAATCGTTTTCGTTCATGTGTGAAAATTTCATCAAAATCTGACTGGTGGTTCTCAAGTTAATGATGGGGTCAAGGATTAGCGGACAGACAGACAGAAGGATGGTATTCAGTGCCATGGTTTTTCGAGATGTACATGTCATATATCATCAAAAACACATAATATCTCATTCACTAAATTTTTCACAATTACAATACTCCCTCGCCCAGTGGCGTAGGAAGTAAAAGATTTATTTTGATGAATAGTGCGAATTCGATGTCCGTTTTGAGATATATGCTGTAAATGTATTGATTTTAAGATTTTTTAATCCGATACCAGCCATGTATTAGAGTGGCAGCGTCGAAAAATTGAATACACAAAACATAAATATCTCGTTTTGTCGAAGCATATCACATGAGAATATTCCAGACATTAATAATCTTTTTGTGCATTTTGCCCAACCCTTTCCATATAAAGAATTTTTCCGAAGTCATTGAAATTATTCTGTGGATTGATTTTATGCTTGGTTTTAACAAATAACTTCATCTTGAGATAGGTAGACAAACCTCTCGTTTTCAAAATATAGTGTTGCTGTCCACAATGTTCTCAGGTAGTATTTTTATAGAATATCTCCAATACCTATATGCTTTTATCAAATGCTTCTCAACTATTTTTCCACAAAGGGACCCAACTGATCTTTGGAATTTGAATATATGTATGAACTATTACTGAAATATTTTGAAGATTTATCAAGTATGACTCAGATCTTTCTTGAATTTGGGTTTCTCACTTGATAGAATAGTTTATTTTTGGGCCTTTCGCTTTTTGCATATCTAGTTTACATTTTACAAAAAATTACAAGCTAATTTTTCAATGGAAAAGGTATTAGAGGTTGTCGTTTCGATAATGATGCTTTTTTGGATAAATAATCACAGTATTAAAAAAATACAAAACATAAAAAGTGTAGTTTGTGTCTGTTGATGAAATGACAGAATCCAGCTCATGACATCAGTAGGGTAGCTCAAATATTCACTTGCGCCCAGTGATAGTTTTAGAAAATAGTTTTGGGGCAGGTCCATATGATGAAATAAAATTGAAAAACACCTTCAAATTTTCTTTAAGCTCGTACAAAGCGGGATGGAGGTCCAGGCCATCTGCTTTTTGTGTCCGGTTGGCAAGTTACTTCATGAACTGTTTTAGATATGATGGATGGATGTTTTTCAGGTTGGATACGTAAATAGAAATGGAGCCGGATCAATTATTTTTGGTCGATAATCCATGCTTCATTAAAACTAAGGCGATACAAAAACCAGTATTGAACTGATAAAATGTCTCACAGACGTCATGAATATGAAGTGATGATCTTGAAACTGTTAATTGTGTTGTGTTTATTACATTTCAAGGTTTTTAAATATTTTGAGTTTTCACAGTTTCCCTATGTTCTCATTAGATATTCCGAAAGGTTACAAGAAACGGTAAAATCGAACTTTAAGTAAAATGTACGTTTTAGGAGTAAAATTTGACTTGCTGATATGAAAAGCTCCATGTTATCCAAAGTCTAATTACCTTGTCCTTTCTTAAGTACCAATTCCTTTTTCTTCGTCTTAATCGCAACTTGATTCAGCTGTTCTATCTGCTGAACCAATTGCCCAGTGGTGGCAGTGTAGGACTCTATTTCCAATCTATCTAACACGACCTTTACGATCTTCTTGGCGTCCTTCAAAGTAATTGCACTCATTCTCTTTGGTCTTCCTCTTCCTCTATTTGGTATGTTCTCTGGAAACACAACATTACATAATTAGCTTGCGAAGTGATGAGCCATTATCGGGGGAGCAATTTTAAAAGCTCTCCCAAAATTCACGCAAGATTTAATTTTTTTTTTTTAATTTGGACTGTAATTTTTTATCGATAGGGTTATGGATTCGCACATACCCACTGTTTTGTCAAATTATTCAAAGAGCATTTTGAATAAATGTGGTTGAATTTCGTTGACGCAACTTTGTTGTTCCCCGCCAATGCATCAGTATTTGCTCAAATCTGATATCTGGATAGTGTGGTTTCAATAAAATTTTCATTCCTGGGCATATACTTTTTCATTTCGGTAATCAGAGTTGGTCTATTGCAACAAGCCCAGACGCTCGTGCATTGAAAGACGTAATTTAATACTGCCTCTTTGAAATTTATATAAGACGTCCATGAATAATTTCCATAACCCTGCGTACGGCAAGTCGAGAAGGCATTTTCCTGTTATGTTATTCCATATATAACCCTATCGCCCTATCCTGCATACTAACGATTTAATAAAAAAATAGTCTAAAGAATAAAAACTACCACTGACACCTTCTAATAATGGTCTTGTCAAATGAGGTATTATACGATTTTTTCACAACTAACTTGCAATATCTAGTTGCCTGTGGTCAAAATGAAATTACTGAATATAATAGACAGTAAGTTTGGATTGATCCATTGTAAAGAGTAATTAATGTATGTTGGTTGTGTTTTCCTTCTGTTAACATTGAGCAATTTTTCAATATTATACCGATCACCGAGATATCCAAGGAGGATAGCTACATAAGAAGTTAAACTACTTATTTCTTGATTGTTTTCAAGTATTTCGAAATATACTAAAAGACATATAAAATGCAACACTTAGAATTATTTATTAAATTTTGATAAAAATTTGTACACATATTTGCTATCATGTAAGTATACGATCAAAAAATGTTGAAGGCATTCCGAGCCGTACTTTTTGTTTGTTGTTTCATGGCATTATCATGCTAGAGTTCGCAGACACGCTAATTTCACTCAACTTTCCAAGTTTGAGGGGTCGGATAATCGGGTTACGTGGAGCCGCTTTTTTTTAGAGAAATCACTAATCGGGAGAATCGAAACTAACCTACCTACTGTAATGAGAATTGTCGAACGTGATTCCAAGAAGGGCGAAATCGACGAGTTAGAGGTACTGGACGTCAAAGACACACTACAGAGCTACATTATTTGAGGCAACTAGCACTCAGAGATCGATTTTACACAACAAGGGCAGTTGCGAACCAGTGGTTTGATGCTGTCGGAAGGGCAGTTTATCGGCGAATAAGGTCTGTTGGACTGTTTTTATACCGTCCCCATCTTGTACTACCCCTGACCCCTTAGCATCGTTGGCAACGATTGGTATGGAGTAGAAAGAGACTTAAACAGAATATGGAATGGAACTCAGTCGTGTTCAGCGATGCGTCCAGATTCCGTTTGGGCACACATGATGACCGTGGAAGAGTAAGGAGGAGACGTGAAAGACAACGTTCAATATTCTATCGAACGGCATATTCATCGCACTGTGGATGTTATGGTATGGGGTGCCATTGCTTACGGCAGTACGTCACGATTAGTGTTCATTCTAGGTAGCATGACTGCCCAGCGCTATATCCACGAAGTTTTACGACCACATCTGCTTCCCTTTTTGGAAACATTGCAAGATCTACTTTTTCAGCAGGACAGTGCACGACCTCATTTTGAACGTGTTAGTTTAGACTTTTTAGAAGCGCTCGGAGTAAATGTGTTTCAGTGGCCTCCTCGATCTGCAGACCGTTCCCCCATCGAACATGTTTGGGACATGATGGGAAGAAGGTTGCAAAACTCACCACACCCTCCACAAACATTGGAGGCTCTACGAAACCAAATTCAGATGGGATACAATACACCAACAAGAGATCAATCACCTAATCCAGTCAATGCCGCGAAGCCTTAACGAATCCGTAGCAAACGGAGGAGCTTCAACACATTGTAAACATTAAGGTGGGATATTTCAGCTATTTTGCGAAATTTCGAGTTAACATTTTAACCACTTTCTATGTATCACTAGACCTAAAACTTGTAAAAGTATGCTCAAAATTACAGCACTCCTTGTCGGTGTTGCATTTTCTATGTCCCAACAGTTGTTCACTTGTCAAACTAAGACAATGAAATTGACAGAACCAATTGTAAATACCATTCATCTAGGGTATTTATGGAAGTAAAGATTACTCCCCATTGAATGATTGTGGTCAATGCTGATGATCTTTTAGGACAATAGTAAGAAAACGTTTCTTTTATAACTAACCTATTTCAGTGACAGTTCCATCCCCCTTGCATGTGGTTGTTACTGTTCTATCAACATTCGAAGTGGGACTTCCAACTGCTGAATCGTTTTTTGCAGATATATTAACTTCCTCGATTTCAGACAATGTGGAGTCATCGCAGGATGACTCGATTTCGCTGGAGCTATTTCTTTTCGGCTGTATCCTTTTCCTATCGTTTACCATTACTAGTTTCTTATGTTTGTTTATCAAAGTGAACTCTTCATCCGAAGTGGCAGAATCGGTCTCACTTTCACTTTTTGCCCTTGCTTTTCTTAGCCTACCTCTTCTCTTTTCATTAGTCTCTGAACAACTATTTTTTGGACTTTTCGAACATGATATAGCAGTTTTTTTATAACGATTCTCTTTTTCTTCGGATTGTGGGTCATCAGAGTAAGTTTCTGTCGTGTCGGTTTCACTTTGATTTTTGTCATTACACCCGTTTTTATCAACTTTTCCATCTCTTCCAGAAACAATTACCTTTGTTCCACTACTTTTCGAGTTTGATGAAGTCCTATTTGAAATATTACTGTCACAAATGTTTTCTACTTCATTGTTGCTAGATTGCGATTTCAACTTATTATTTATCTGCAAAAGGCAAAGCGAGTAAAAATGTATAAAATTATGTTTACCCAATTTTAAGGATAATAGAAATCAAGCATATTATTTATTTATTTAAAATAAAAATGGATTTCATTAACTCGTTCATAGCTTAGTCAACAATATATAAAAACTCCTTATATATCATATTAGACGAAAATACCCCTGGTTTGCGAAATAATTGTAGTCTGGTTTCATTATTACTCACAAATACGAAATGTTTGAATTTGTTTAGAAGAAAAAACGCAACCTTTGTTTTTCGCATAAAAATAACATATATCTTTCGGAATGGGTTTGTGATTCATATAGGCAAGGTAAACGTGTATTTTGCTATTAAATGCTCTTTGAACGAACCCTGTATATTGCTCAATAAGCTAGTAGTGATGGCCAGAAAACAGGTGTTTTGGGATAAACAATTAGAAATACTTAAAAAACTACTTGCGTGAAATTATCGTCGAATTACCAACAAGTGCCAAAACCTGCATTTGCCTTGTTTATCGGCCATAACAGTTTTGCTATTTATTAGTCGGATCTTTTCACGTGGGGTCTCATTTTGTAGGTCTCATAAATACTTAAAAATCTTATATGAAAAGTTTTTTTCGTTCCTGTCAACACTTTCTATTGAATCCCAAAAAACACGTTTTCTCATTCTTTGTTGTCAAATAAAAAGTTTTGTGGTGTACCTATTTTATGCGCCCATGTTTCAAATACCCCCTTGAACAACTTGCACCAATAAAACGAGACTTTACAGTTATTTCGGGGAAATTTGCTAATATGAATAGACTGTTGGAGCGGAACTTTGTTTTGTTTGGTTTGATATGTCAAAATATCAGATTTTATCATATTTCTTTAAAACGGAAGGAGATACCATTAAGGTACATTTTACAAAAATTGTAGAGAATACAATTATCTATAAAAGCTGTTCAAATACTTTTATTCATTGAGTCATCGTTTATGCGATCTAGTGTTCTGTGGATTGACAGGTACTTTTCTGCTCTTATGTGGCATATATTATGTGTACGCCATCGACCGTTCGATATGAATATACTGAGCATTGATGTTTGCGACTAAAATACATACAGGGTGTGTCAAAAAAGTATGTGATTTTTCTAAAAATTCGTTCTATGAGCAATCAATGCTTTGGATACAAAACAATTGAATGCGAAATGCTTGACAACTCAAAAAGAAGGTAATAGTAATGACCCGTACCATTCAACACAAACACTAAGGTGCATTCAAAATGAACGAAAGGAAAATCGTATTTTGAAAATTGCTTCAGGTCTTCATTACGTTATTCTAACTGATATATCTATATATTATTATTTTTTTTGTATTCCTCTGAAACGGTACGGCTAACCACAGAAATAGCTTACACCAAAATTGTAGAGCATGTAACCCTCTATAAAACTTCAAATGTAATGAAAATATTGTACCATTTTTTTGAGCTAGTCATCATAAAAATCAGTTAATGACTTTTGTAGAACAGGTACTGTTTCCATATAACTTTTCATTTATGAGGCATTCTTTATAACGTATTTTTCTATAACTACAGATATATATATATATATATATATATATATATATATATATATATATATATATATATATAGAAGAAAATATTAAAACCATAATCCAGCAAAGTGACTGTCTTAAGCATCCCGCGTCCACTTGGACATATGTCCTGGGCCACTTTTGATCATCGGCTGAATAACAACAATAGTGGTTGTCACTTCAATCTACATAAGTGTTTTTCCCAGATTGTTTTCTACATAAGTTATTCAGATTTTTCTTTCTGACCATTACGTATTGAGGTTTTCAAAGTTGATAAAGTATTCTGCATAATATCTACACATTTCCATACCACCTTTGAGATAGTAAATCTGGCGCATTGTTTTACGTTTTTTTCTCCAGTAGGCATACTCCACGATCCAAATATTTTCCATTATCAAACTACTATAAATATATGTATATTTACATAGAGATTTGAAATTCCTCAATTTTCTTTCTCGCCATTCTGACCTTCAGCTAGATGCGACTCAGCATTAGAGCATGATTGACCCTGGCAATTGCCGCATACTGATCAACAGGCTGATTCCACTTTCTTACCGCTGCAGTTGTTATTGCAGCTCTTACAATTGTTTTACGAAGGCACATGCATATTTTTTTAATACCTTGTAAAAGTATACATATAACGATCGATGATGTATACATAAAACATGCCGCGTATGAGCCTTAGCAGTGTCTTAGATCCTTTAGATCAAGGAACGCATAAACAGCGACTCACAAAAATTTAACTGGGCAAGTTTCATAGAGATTTCTATTGCCTACAATTTTGGAATAATCTATTTTTGTGGTTAGTCGTACTGTTTCAGAGAAATTTAAAAAAATGGTAATTTTGACGTAACCTCCAATACAAAATTTTTCGCCCCATTGACGGGAACTTTTGATATATGTACATATGTATTTCTTCTAATAACATATTTAAGGCATAAAACAATTTTCAAGTGGGTATGATTTTTTCCGAAAATTCGATTCCCCTTTTGTTCATTTGAGCGCACCTTAAATAGACCAGGATGTGTTTGGATGTTTGCTTCCACATATATGTTCATATGGAACCGTCGATGATATACGCATAATATATGCCGTATAAGAGTCGAAGAGTACTTGAACAACTTTTATAGATTATTATATTTTCTACAATTTTTGTATAAGGTATTTTTGTGGTATCTCTTTCGCTTCAAAGAAAAATGACAAAGCGTGACATTTCAACCCAAATAAAACAATGTTCCGCTCCAAGGATACATGAGGAGTTGTGATATATTATACATAATGGTGTATTCAAGGTCGATACAAATTTTCAGCTTTGTGGGAATTTTTGTAAACCTAACTAGCACACCCTCTTTGGAACACATATACCTCAGAATAAAGTTGAACCGTTTTTGAATAACGCACAATTCTGTAAAATCCTAGTGTAGTATGGTACGAACACACTGAATAAATACTGTTATTGTAAACTGTTAGAAAATGTTAAGTATTGCAAATAATACAGACTGTAACACAGGTTTGGAACGCATCGAATATCCGGCGAATGACTCATGTAAATTTTTTAAAAATTGGTAGGCTTAGGTTCAAAACCACGGCGGATCCTTTGATGATATCCGCGATGTTGCCAAATCTACAGTTCTTCAGAAACTGATAGCAACTTTTGTTTTCCTTATGGAATGATATACATTTTATTCGATATTTGTATTCTGCGTGTAATTCTGAATACTTCTTATTAAACACACTTTGACGTGGACCTCATAGTTTTCGCAATATTCGCGATCCAACAATATTCAAACAATAAAAGGTATTTTTTCACCTTACCAATGACCGGTATCGAAAGTAATTTCCTGTTATTTTTGACATTCAAAAGTCCATTGAGTTTTGTTGGTACAGATATTGAGAATGTTTGATTTAACAGGAACAGAGAGAATAGAAATTCTAATGATACTGGTTTATGGCAATCGTCGACGCTCATACCAAGTTTGGGATATTTTTAATGACAAATACCCCAACCGGAATCCAATAACAAGGTCTACTGTTGGAAAAGTTTTGAAGAAATTTGAAATAACATGTAAAGGATGTTCCACGATCTGGCCGCCCCAAAACAGCCACTGATGAAAATAAGGCTTTGAATATTTTAGTGAGCATAGCGGAAAACCACCACCATCCTACTAGAACACTTCGTGAAGATAATACATCTCACCAAGTGTATCAACAATATCACGTTACCGTTTTTTTAATATTTTTAATAATGTTCTTTTGACAAATTTCATAGTTTATTGATTGTATAACTTCTCATGAATTTTATCTTTCTCAGCGACTCAGTATTGTGTTAAAATTTTTTGGACACTAATGCTACAGTATTATTAACGACTATCTCACAAATTTCCTCATAAAATATCGTTGGTCTCTCGTAGTTAGTTTTCTGCATCGGCAATCAGCAAAACACTTTTTGGTTTTTCTAAGTTTCTTTTGGTTTCGTTTCGAACATACCTTCTTCAAGGCCACTCATTTAACCTTCCTTTTAAAAAGTCATGTGTTCGGCGTCATTTCACTTTTCTATTGAGGTTTTTTGGTGCGTGGTCGTTTCGTTAACTTCCAGATTCTGGGATATTAGGCCCTTAATACCAGTTTATGGAGTAGCACCTTTTTATTTTGTACCTTGCGGTTAGTTGTTTTAGTTTCCATTCACACTCCTCCAGCTTTGTTTTGTAGCTGACTTGTACCTGTTTTGCAGCTGATATTACTGGAAGCCACCCCTTCCCCTTGAGCAAAAAAAAACTGTTCACATCAACGACAGAATATGGCTTCAACAAGATGGTGCACCTCCGCATTGCGCTCAAAATGTTGGAGGAACTAAAGCAACGAATAGAAAATGCATGTAGAAGAATCGAGGAAAGCGGATGTCTTCAAAATGTTCTAAATGCATTTCAGCAATATCTAGCTTATTGCCAAGAAGTATATTGACGACAGTTTAATATCTTGTTTTGAAGTTTGAATTAACAACTTCTTCGTTTTTAATTTTCATCATGTTTCCTTGGAACATCAAATACTCTATTTTAATCAATATTAGAATTTCTATCCTCTTGGTTTTAGTTGAATAAATCATATTTTTATTAACTCTACTAACAAAGCTCAATGGACTTTTGAATGTCAGAAATGACAGGAAATTATTTTCCAAACCGGCCATTGCTTACTTGAAAAACATGACTTTTATTGTTATTTCGAAAACTGTGAGGTCTACGTCAAAGTATTCAATAAGAAAAACAAAAGTTGCTATCAGTTTCTGAAAAACTGTAGATGCCGTGGTCGCGAACCTAAACTTACCAATTTAAAAAAATAGATGAGTCATTCGTCACATATTTGATGCGTTCCAAACTTTTTTTACAGTCTGTATAGGTCGGACATGCTGCGGTCAGCAGAACAATCACCTCGCAATACAT